TAAAAACGCCTTGGGCAAGTTAGCCATGTGGGTGTCTGGAGTGGGTATCCAATATGCATTTACGACCCTTTGTAATCTTTGAAAAGTATAAGGTGTGACTACCTAATTAATGAGATGAGATTTTAAGCTTCCAAATAATAATAGTGACAACTCAGTCTGAAATTTTTAGGCTTCTGTCTTCTCTCCATTTTATAGCTATCAGTTTAATTATACAAAAATATAATTCAACTATTGAGTTTCAGACAAGTGAACTCTGAATAAAAGGAAGCTGCAAGGTTGTTAATTTTCATGTTAAGATCATAATTTCCGGGCGCCTGGGTGGCTCAGTCGTTAAGCGTCTGCCTTCGGCTCAGGTCATGGTCCCAGGGTCCTGGGATCGAGTCCCACATAGGGCTCCCTGCTCAGCGGGAAGCCTGCTTCTCCCTCTCCCACTCCCCCTGCTTCTGTTCCTGCTCTCGCTATCTCTCTCTCTGTCAAATAAATAAATAAAATCTTTAAAAAAAAAAAAGATCATAATTTCCTTTGGATGTTCTTCTTTCTTCTTTTGAAATAGGGGTTTTCCAGAACTTATTTTCTTTTGCTGCTACTTTTTCCTTCTATTTCCATTCTATGAGATCATTACCTTTTGTCCTTTCCATGTTATACCTTAAAAGTATCATATTCAGATTATGGTAACACCTTATGTAACTGCCATTTTTAAGAAATAAAATTTAAAGTAGGCTCCTATAAATACCAGAATAACTTTATTTTTAATTTAGCCATTTTAATAACTCATTTCAATGAAATCGAACAAGGTATTGAGCTAGAGCCTGTGAGAGGCATAAAGATAAACAGACTTGCTCCCTGTTCTCCATGAGCTCACAGTCCTGGGGAAGAGCTGGTTCACATCACATAATTCTCTTGTGGGTCATAGTGTGACAAGTGACAAAAGACAGGTGCAGAGATGTGCTGTGAAGGTACCAAAGAAAGAGATTACTTCTGGTTGGATGGTCAGGAGATACTTCCTGGAAGGAACAATTTTGATGAAGAATGGGAAAAACCTGGCATTCTTCATCAGAATTGTTGGTGGGGACTGATATTCCAGGTTGAAAGAAACCATGAACATAACCCTTAGGGCAGGAATGCATGGCGTTCTTGGGAGTCACAGCTGTGTGATACGGAGGAGTCAGGAAAAGGGGTCAGAGCCTCATTTTCAGCGTGTTGAATGCCACAGTCAGGAGGTTGGACTTTATTCTGGAGTAACAGGCAACTGTTGTCTTACTCTAGGCTTTGGAACAGGGGAAATGACATGATCAGAGTAAAATTCATTTCAGTTTAGCAAATATATTGGGTAGCTGTAATGTGCCTAGCCCTGTTCTTGGAGTAATAGATACGGGGACACATTCTTGATGTTGCCCTTAATGACCTTTGAGTCTAGTAGGGGACAGATATATGAACAGATAGTGTCAATAAAAAGTAGTATTTTGCACTAAAATAGATGTATGTACAGGAGGTTATGGGAGCCCTGAGAAAGTAATCTGGGGGCTAAGGAAGAGGTTGATTCCTGGCATAAGTCTTACAAGAAGAGTAAGAATTATTTGGATAAAGAGGAAAGGGAAGGATAGTCCTGACCAAGAGAACACAGAGAGCAAACTCACAGGGAATCAACTGGCATGGGATGTATAAAGAAAGATAGCAATGCCATTTTATTAGCTTATTCAGTGGGAGGCAGGGAGGTAGTAGGGAAAGAGGAGGGAGCCGAGGAGGTAAGAATGGTCCTTTGGAAACCTCTTTCACAGCAGAGGCAGGGAAGCCAGAAGACTACTACAGGGTCACATCCTACAGTAGTGTTTCATTTAGGAGGCATGGCCCAAACAGGAATTCCAAACTTTACCTGTGACTTCCAAACATTTAGAGGGATTCAAGTATATACTGCCTGACAATTCCTATTAATACTCTGTTATTTCTTAATATTAAGCATCCCCAGAATTCCCAGGAGCCTTCTGGTGTCCTATCCTGGAAGGACCACAGAGTTCCGTTCCGACCACCTTGGTCCTTCAATCCCTGTTCTCTTTTCTGCCACTCCAGTAGGTTTCATTCTCCCTTTGAGTGTTACTCTTTGTCTCTGTTTGGTTTTCTGCCTCCACCCTGCTTCTTCACGCATGAGTTTTACCCTTTTTATTCTCTGCAAACAGGACTTGATGGTGTGAGAGCAAGAGGGCTACACTGTGATTTGGGTTGTGGGGGGACAGTGGGAGCTTCTGAACTTGAATATGTTAATATTTGGGGGCCAGTAGCAATAAGATGAAATATGATCAGAAAGAGGGATATGGCAGTATGATGGAATAGAAGACACAGAAGTGAGATAACTTTCAGAGACATACTCACAGCCTGACAACTAACTAAATGTAGGATGGAGGCAGAGAGGGGTAGGATTTTAATACTGCTTGGTACTTTGGATGTAGAATAAATAACAACAGTGTGATATTATTCACTATGGTGGGGGTCCAAAAAGAGGGGCATATTTAAGAGAGAAGATTAGAAGATGATAAATTTGACTTTGTATATTCTGAGCCTAGGGTGTCAGCAAGATATTCAAGTCATATTTAGCAAGCATAATGCTTTAATGTGATGCAACCTGCTAGCAGTTTCCAAACCTTTGTGCACTCAGGGTCAAACACCCTTGGAAAACAACATACTATGATCCTTTCTTGGAGATTGGGTATACACTGATAAATCCTGCAGTAACTAAACCCATCTAACTTCATTTCCAATGCCCCTCCCATTTTTTTTCCATAATACCTATTAACATCATTGGGAAAGTTATTTTCAAGGAGCCATGTTTTAAGAAATTATTGTTACAGCCCTAAGGACCTGCAATTAGGGGATGATTAAGATAGAAAGAATTTGATGGGGGTGGAGGGTGTTGCTTATTTGCATGGAAGTGAGAGTTGCAGCATTATGTACTGATGAATCACTCAGAGTGAATAGAGCGAGAAGAAAGTTTGCAGGAAGAACCTCTATAAACACTGTTTGATACCTGAAATGGCATGTAGAGAATACAATTTGGAGAGGCAGCAAGCAAATTGTGGTAGCAAAAGCATGGGTAGAATTGACATGTGTGACAAGTGATCTAATCTCTAATATTGTTTTCCTACCTGAAAAATAATGCCCACCTCGTTGGGTTATATTGAGATTTAAAATAGAAAATATATGAAGCATGTACCACATAGTAGACACAGAATCTATTCTCGATAAACACTGTTATTAATATTTTCATTTAAATCTTCTTGATGAGTTGAAACAAAGTTTTCGTGATCACACTGCTATATTAAAACCTGAACTTTGAGCAATTACATGGCAGAAATCTCTGTGGTGGATATCAATACCCTAATACAAGAAAGCAATCCCAGTTAAGACAAGCCTGGGCCAGGAACAGCATGGTACAGGAATAGAATCCACAGAAGCTAGGCGACGGAAGAAGACACCACAGGAATTCCCTGAAGGCATCTGTGACTATGGTTTGTTTTTTGTTTTTTGTTTTTGTTTTTTTGAATCTGCTTTGCATGAAGAGATGCTGGAAGCTAATATCAGAACCTTAGTGAACAATCTGCTCTCCTTAAAAAATTTCTGAGCTAAATCCACCCTGGGTGAATGGTTGTAGGTATCGATATGGCATGAGGAGACACCCTCTGACAATAGTCATTATCTGGCACCCTCAGGGGCGGACTGGGGTGGGACTGGAGGGAGGCATCTGCAACAGAAAACTGAGCTAATGAGATATACTGCTCTTTGAATATGTCCCCATGTCACAATTGCAGGCCTTAATCATTTTCACTCTTACTCAATTGAGCATACAAGGCCAAAAGAGATCCTGAAGGTCAAAAGAGATTCTGAAGAGATTCCACAGCAAATTAGCTTTTCTCTGGGGGTGGGGAGGGGGGTGGAGGGGGTGGCGGGGGCGGCACAAAGTCAATTACCATGATTTATCCAAATTAGCTTATTTCAAATATCAAAGGGATGGTGACCAGAATTTGTTATTTTGCAGTCATATCGTAGGACTTCTGGACTGCAGCCCCTTAGGTCTCAGATGATCTTTGTTGTTATTCAGATTGGCCATTTAACATGACCAGCTAATGTTCTTAATCAAGAAGTCATCCCCCAGTCCCCAAGATATGGGTAGAGGAAATCACTGAAAGGAAGATGAGTAAGTCTTGCAGGAAACTTGTAAGGTAGCAGGATTGTTCAGATCCTTGGGAAGGGACAGAGGCAGGGTGACAACTGGTTTATGTGTGTGAACAAACAAGGATCTTGTGGCAGGAGATGCTCATTAATTGTTCTCTGAGTGAAGATAGGTGGAAGTGTCAATGAAATACACCTGAAAATTTCATAGGGTCTCTCGGGAGTATTTGCAAGGAAAATGAACAGTTCTCTGTCTTTTACGGTCACTTGCCCAAGAATCACAAGACTAGGGAAGAATGAATATACATAATCCAGTGCTACTTGAAATGTGGTCCAAGTTGGCAGCATCATCATCACCTGAATCTAGCATCATCTAGAAGTACAAATTCTCAGGTCACACCCTAGGCATGCAGAAATAAGAATCTCCAGGCAATTTGTTTTTAAAAGTTTTCCAAGTAATTCTCGAAACACTGAAGTTTAAGCAGCACTGTTCTAGGCCTGTATTTGGTGTGCCAATCATTTCCACTTCCGTTCACTCACTAAACCTGCCTGGTTTCCTTGTCTTTCTACCCTTTGTTTCTTGTTCGCTTATCCTGATGGTCCCTGATTAGACCATGTGGTTATAGATAACACATCAGTTTTATAATTTTTACCATCAGCATAAATCAGAATTCTACTTATGGAAAGCAACTTTGCAGAGGCAGTAAAAATACTGATTCTTAGCCTCGTGATTTGGTATACAGCAGAAAGACAATAGTTACAACTTCTGAAAAATGACTGTTCATTCCCAGGAGAACCATGATATAAATTAAGGGATTGAAAAGGAGAAAAACACTTACATGGGCTGTAAGTTGCTCTTGGGAAGCTTTCACTTCAGCTTGTAATTTCTCAATGCACTGAAAAGGGAAAAAGTTTAGAAACAAAGAGTGTAACTCTTCCTTTTTATATATTCAAAGGATTCAAGATATAAATAGATACCAGTTCTCAAATCCTGTGAATCGCAGCACAATCTCAGCTAGATGCTTTGGAAATCATCATTGAGAAATCCTTGCTCCTATCCCTAACTTTTATCCAGTCTATTGAAGAGCCCAGCAACAAAGAACACAAATATGTTAAGATTTAGGAAATGAGTGGGGCACTAATATTTGCTTGATGTACTGAAGGTAATGCTAACCTACCTTCTATCATATATACCTATATATATAGGATCAAATGGGTTTTTGCCTGCCTTTGGAACATCTGGATATATTCACAGAAAGTATATATATATATATATATATATATATATATATATATATATATATATTCACAGAAAATATATATATATATTCACAGAAAACATATTTATATATACCAAAGGCCGATACAAACCCATTGAGTTGAACAAGAAAAAAATTTATATAAATGCTCAGAGATTCCAAGATTATTAGCTTCTTATAATTGATAAAAGCACATGACAAATTTTCTGATCCACTTATTTCACGACATAGAAAGTATTCCTTGATAAAATTCAACCTTAAAAACAAGAAAATAATTGTGTAGTTAATACCACTTACAAAATAAGTAGAATATTCAGCTAATGTGGTTCAAAAGGATCCATATCAAACAAACTTTTAAAATATCACTAACAAAATTCATTTTGTATGTGAATATTCATCAGTGAATACAATTATATTTAGCAAATACAAATATTATTATTTGCCATCTTGAACTTAGATATGAACTTCCATCCCAGCCAGAAAGGACTGCAGAATGGTCAGTTCATATAAGCTTAGGTAGCTTTTTAAGAGAAAGATTATTTTTTCTTCTACAATGTACCTGGTCTTTTGCAAGAACCATTTTTTCGTATGGTTCCCCACTGTCTTCCTTATGGTCCAGAGTCTCTAGTTTTTCCTCCAGCCAGGAAACTTGCTCAAGCAGTTTGGATTTTGTTCCTTCAGAGGCTGCAAGCTAAAGACATTTCTTGTAAGGGCATGCAAGCACAGTGATTTTTTTTTTTTTTAGAGCTCCTTTTAAAAGTCTAATTTATAAATATTTTGCCTGCCACTGATATCTATTAAACATGAAAATGCCTTCTGGACTATTCCTCATAGCTGACAGAGATTGGTATAGAGAGATAAGGAAATAGTGTTGACTTTATTTTTATTTATAAAGATCTTTCTGGGCAAGGGATGAGACTACATAGTTAAAACAGGCAGAGTGATTTCTAGTGCAACAAGCTCAACACTCATCTTTCTGGTGTTTTAATATTTTACTTTACTTGTACAGCTGAAATCTGAATTGTGGGTTATACATTGTTCTTGGAGCTTAACTCTTGGGGGACTACAGCTCTTTAGAAAAAGTAGGAATTCTGACTCTTTTTTTTTTTAATTTCTTTTTAATTTTATTTCTTTCTTTCTTTTTTTTTTTTTTTATTTTATGAATTCTGACTCTTTTGAATATTCACCATATAAGCAGCCTAAGGGAAATGCAGGAACTTCAAGTTAAAGTCTGATCAAAGACAGATCTATGCTAAACCATAACCAGAAAATGTCTACAGATGACTGTCTTTGTTTCACTGTTTGTAGATTCCTCTTGAGAAAAGGGTAGTTTGATAGTGCCTCGTTCCTTAATTCCCTTGGAGAGCCCCTGGACTAGCATTTCCTTTCATTCAGACAGCTTATTGTGCATTTTCTCTGTAGCTCAGCAACAATTCTGAAAGGGTCTCTGGAAAGGGACACACACCTTGTATTCATTCCAGTTCCCAGTGTGTCCTTGGAGGCATGAATTATCTTTAAATATCTCTTTCATATTATTCCAAGTGTTGTTGTAAAGCAGACTGTCTCATCTTGAAAAGTGCAGCAAGTTTTTAAAGACAATTTACCAAATAGGGAAGCAGAAGCATGAAGAGGTTGGTCTTAAGGTGGGCACATCATATATATACCGGCATAGAGCCAAATCCACTCATCCTCACAATCATTCACTTCACAATTATTTGTTTAGTTGGCACTCTGCCCAGCCATTGCATTATGCACTGGAGATTCTGAAAGTGCCATGTGGAGGACCAGAGGGGACACATATGTCATGAACTGTTGGCTATACCTTTCGGCTCTCAGTGACATGGGAGACCATAGTGCTCCCCATGGACAGTGATGCATTTAACTCTTGAGTACAAAATAGTTTGGAGATGTAGCCTGGTTTTTCTAGGCACCCTTCTATTTATTCCACAATATAGTGTAATGACTAAACACACGGACTCTTGAGTCAGACCCTTGGCGTAAACATCTCACTTTCCTACTTACTATCTATGGGATTTTGGCAAGTTTCTCAGTCTCTCTGGGCTTGAATATCCAATCTGTAAATGAGAATGGGGATGAAAAGAATACTACTTACCTCACAGGTTTGTTTTGAGGAGTAAATGAGTTTATGCAAGAGAGATACTTAGAATAATGCTTGAAACATATCCTGTACTTAGTACCTATTATTGTTATACTTTCTTCTACCTCCTCTAGATTACAGTAAGTATTGATAGTATTGATTGTTTTATTCAGATATTTATTATTTATCAAATTATAAAACAAAGTATCTGAGGACATCACAGCATTTTTGGGCCAGTTACCCTAAACTCGAAATGTATTCAGTTCACTTACTTCCTGCAACCACTATGGTGTTCAGGGGAAAAGACCTCTCTAGATCCGGCATTTTTTTTCTCTCAAATATAGTTTTTTTCAGTCTGACCTATTTTGTTCCCATATCCTAGCTGAGCTGTCATTGAGCCAGGCACCATTTGGTTGTCTTTCTTTTAAATCTACCTTCTATTGTTTTCAGGCTTTTATTCATTCATTCAAAAGATATTCACTTATTCACTCATTTGTTAAGGAGATATGTTGAGCAGTTATTATATGTAAAACTTAGAGGTAATATATGAGAGTAATATTGCTTATACGCTCAAAAAAATTCACACTTTCCCCAGAAAGGCAGACTATTTTAGAACTATTATGTAATATGAACATATTTAGGTGGATAATAAAATGACATTAATAATTTACTGGGTACTAACTACATATCAAGTGCTCTGCGGAACCTTTTGTTTTCACCTTTGTTTATCTCAATCCCGCTTCATACCCATTTTGCAGATAAGGGAATTCAGTAAGTTCAGTAAAGTTGTATAACTTGCCCAAGGACACAGCAAGTAAGTGTTGGAACCCAAGCTTTCAGCAGTGGACACTGGGTCTGACTCCCTAAACCCAGATTTGACCCCAGCTCCTAAAGTGGGGCCTGAGAATCATGAGAATCCTATCCTCTTTGCTGCTGATTGATTTAGGAATCAAGGCCTAAACCAATTAGAGTCTGGCTTTTCTTTGATCACAGTTATTGTATGAGGAGAAGTGATCTAGTTTGGATCCCTCACACTGCACAGGAGGAATTTTGATGATTTGGAGAAGCAATCTCTCTCACCTACGAGATATGAATGCTATTGTAGTCATCCTATAAACATCCAAGAAACCAGTATATGATGAAGCCACGCTCTGAATGGAAGAGTGGACAACATTATTGAAATGTTTTATCAAATAATCTTGAAGCATGTCCTTGGACTCACACAGAGTGAGCTAATAAGCTTCCTTATTGTTTAGAAATTGAATTTTCTGTTACTTGCTACCATAAGCATTCTGTTGACAATTCCATTCCATTCTATTGTCTGATTCCAAAGTCCCATGTTCTTGACCACAAATAAGTCAAATCTATGGAACAACAGCGGTAATTAACATTTATTTGGTAGCTATACCATACCATACATTCTGCTGGATGCTATCTTGACATAAGTTACCTTAGTCCATTGCTCAAAACTCTATGAGTTTTGTTTTTATTTTTTGTTAATTATCACCATTTTAAAGAATGAGAAACTAGATGCTTTTTGGAGTGAATTAACTTGCCCACAGCTAATGAGAAGAGATTGGATTTGGATCTACATTGATCTGCCTCCAACTCTGGGTTCTATATTATATCAAACCCTAACTCTAAGGCTGCCTGCACAGATGACGCCCCCCCACCCCCCTCCCCCGGCCCGCCCCGCTAACTACGTGACCCTCAACATTCTTTCTCAGCATGTTTACCTATTTACCTGAAAGAGATTTATTTTCTTTTATTCTAAGGCCTGAGAACTCTATCCTAACATCTTTCTTCTTTTTTTATAGACACCAACACCATCTTTTTTTCTTTTCCTTTTCTAAAGGGCCTCTGTCTGACTGTCCCTTTGACTCAGATATATTTACTGCGGGCTTAGCTTTACTCTAAGAAACCTTGACTTGGAGTCAAGAGATCTATGTTTTAGTCTCAGTCCTACAACTCACTGACACTAGGACCTTGGAACCCGTAATAGGATTTTACATGCTACTTTGCTCTATTTTTATAGGTTATTTCTCCAGTCATATGTGCTCAAACTAGATTGTAATTCCCCAGAAGGATGAATGAAGAATTCTGTCAAAACTTACGGACACAGTCGAATTGGCCAGGAACAATCTTTGCTAAGATCATTCTATTTATTAACTTTTTAAACTTAATTTTCATATGTATGTATCAGCACCTCACAACAGCAGGATAAAGAGATCTTATTTTTTCTTCCACATATGGATACACTGGGGGCAAGAAAGAATAATTTCTTGTTGTGTTCCTTTTTATAATGATGAAACTGTTTATCGGCATAAGACGATATTCTCTGAGCTCTCTTTGAAAATAGCCCAAATAAGACTGATAATCCAAAAGGATAGAAGAGAAAAGAGACGGGAGGAAAATGAAATAAAATAAAAGTTACACATCAGAGTTCTTTTTTTTCAATTTAAGCACTGCCTGAAAGATTATGCTCTATTGCTGAGTCACAAGATGTTAGTTGCCATTTTGAATTCACTCCATTGTTTTGATGGAGGTTTTAGGACTTTTTAAAGTCTAATTTTCAGTTCAGAAAGCCTTTAGGAATGCCGTCTAAATTCAAATTCAAATTATGACATAGAAAAAAAGGCATCAAAGTAAGTAAGAGGAAATCCAAGGTAGCCCTACAAGGTATCATAATTGAATTTTAAAACCTGGGGACCTTGGGCATTGCTTCTTTTTTGTTGCTTTCTTTTTTTTTTTTTTTTTTCATAAGAACCACATGGTTTTACAAGGTAATTGTTTTGGGGAGCACAAAAACAAGTTTAGTCCAATTAGTATCAGTATCTGCTTACATAAAGAGAGTAGAAATACATCCTCTTTAGATGACCAATTTTCATGTGTCCTAATTGGTCACTTTTGCTGAAACATAGGTTCACATGATGTTGGAAGGTTATTGTTCTACTTCTGACTCTTTTTGACAAACAGGTACCTTTCCCTTCTGCCTGTGGTTTTAACAAGTTTGGAGGGAAGAGATGACTTGAAAAGTATGAATAATATTTGTCTTAAGACTTACGTAAAACAAAGGGGCAACTTCCATATTATACCTTTGAGGCTATGTAAATCCACTAAAAGAAAATCAACTTCCAATATTTATCCTGTTCCATAAAAGAGCATTATAAAAGTATTGTAATACAGTTAAAAGTGAAAGGAAGGTAAATTTTATCCACTGTACAGTTTATTAACAGAGTCAGTAAAGGGGACTAATATATTTTAGAACTGTATTCAAGATAGTAGTTAAAGCAAAATGACTTGGACTTCACAGAAGTTGGCAGGGTAGGAAGCTCCAGGAATAGGTCCTTCCACTTAAATAACCATTGAGCTGGTAAAACCTGTCAGAACCAACCATTTCAGAGCTCTGGAGTCTAGTAGAATGCCGGCAGCATCCAGGAAAGTACTGGATGAAGAAAGAGACTGGCATTCAAGGAAATCTCTGTCAGGTCACCTGGCTTACTGCAGAGATAATGGAACAGGAGACTTTGATGACCACACATGAGAAGAAATATAATCTCTGGAAAATTAATTTGGAAAAGTAACTAAACAAA